TTCTTCCGTTCTCTTAGACTCGATGTTCGAAACAAGGTTGTTCTCATATAAAACATGTAAACGTCAGACAATTACCAGTCTCCATTACTGATGGAACATATTTCACTGGACGTCAAAGGTAAACAAAATGCATGAAAACTATAGGAATGGATCACTGAAAGGTTAGAAATAGAGTAAGCTAAATTATCAAATTGTCAAACCGGTAGCTCTCACCAGTCACGCTATTTGCATAAACAATTACGAGCATATATCAAGGTATCTAAAACTGGATTCTCCAGACAGCTTTAATATTGCCCAGTGCGGCGTCAAACAACCACAATATATTCTTACACACATCACCAGGTACTCTGATTGGAGCATCCCGTATATATTCTCCTATTTGGGTAAAGCTGCCCTCCAGCCAGCATGTAGTTGTTTGCTGAATTGAGCCACCAGGGCGCTGTAGGCGGAATCATAAGCCAGGTTCTTGTTTTCCTGAGGATCGCCATAATGGTCGTACAGTTCCACACCAAACACTTGGGTCCAGTCCGGCTTGTACACAGGTTGTAAGTTGAATTTGACCCACTCTGTGTATCTGTAATGATCGGTGGTCATGCTGTAGCCCATTTGATCTCCGTTGTATTCATTCCTCGGGTACTGGGAGAATACAGCCTTCTTCCAGTTGGGACTTGCTGGGTTTGTTATCAGCGGTATCAAACTAGTGCCTTCAGTGCAGACTAGAACGTTAGTGGAGTTTTCTGGACAGAGATTAATGGGAGGTAGACCTGCAGCTTCTACCAGAGTAGGAAAAAGATCCACAAACTCGGTGAGTTCTTCCGTCACGATGCCCTTGTCAGTGAGACCCGGCACATGTACCATCATCGGGGCGTGCGTGGCAATGTCAAAGTCCGTGTGTTTGCACCACTCACCGTGTTCCCCCAGTTGCCAGCCGTGATCTCCCCAGAAGGAGATGATTGTATTGTTGTCCAGGCCTTGATTCTCCAGCTCCTGGATAAGTCGTCCCAGTTCGTAGTCTGTGTAGCTGAGGGCGCTGTAGTAGGCTCTCCTCAAACCGAGGATGACATCGTTTGGGAGTGTGGTGTTGATGTCTCCCGAAATATGTAATTTCTCAATGTCAACGAATTGCCTAAGCTCTGAATAATTAGACCATGCAATTACCGGCATCTTATCAGGAGCGTATGGATTGGGTGGGAGATTAATTGAAGACTCAGGGTACATGTCAAAGAACATCTGTGGTGCCAAAAAGGGAAGATGAGGTTTGTGGAATCCTTGAGCGATGAAAAATGGACGTTCTCCTGATCTAGCCTGAGGGGCTGCTTGTCTGATCATGTTAATTGCATAATCTGCATTCTGGGTGTCTTGAAGGGAGTTGTTCTTTAGAAGGTCCATCGGCACATTCAACCAGGTATCATGCTCCTTGATTGCAAACTTGTTTGCTTGACCTCCTACTTCAAAATATGGCTCAGTCCAGGAAATCGGGTCGTTATAATTAGAAGCATGTCCTGGATGGAAAACCTTTCCAGATCCTATCGTTCTGTAGCCGTGCTCCTTGAAATACTGAGGGATGGTGGTGAAGTTACCTCCCACATCTCTCCAGTAAGCTTGTAGATCATACACATGGGTAGTGTCTGGTCTTCGTCCTGTGAGGAGAGATGATCGGCTCGGGGAACACACAGCCTGCTGAACATAGGCTCTCTTTAACAGAAGACTCTTCCGAGCGAGGGCGTCAATGTTGGGTGAATGTATCGGAGGATGAACAGGACTGGGGAAGTCTTTTCCTTCAAAAATGGTGAGTTCCGGTCTCATGTCATCTGCCACTAAAAACAACACATTCATACGAGCCTGGGCGGCAGTCACCGCCAGCAGCAGAAGAGTCACCCTCAACATTATAGCGTCTAAATCACACTCTTCCAACTGACGCAAAATGATTTATATATTTTCTAGCCTGTGAAGATAGCAGACGACCCTTATCATTTGGAATGTTTGTTATTTGATATGGCCCTGAACAAGGACTGGCAGTAGCAGAACACTTTTCGCGCAAGGACGTCCAGGTCTGGTGATTCCATAGGAGGTGTCAGACATGGAGCAGGGTGTCAGACATGGAGGTCAACTAAAGATTACTTGAAAGTATTTATATTTTGATAAGCGACATATTACAAATGTTTGGGAACATGCACCTGTGTCTTTATCGTTACCTCATGGCATTGCATAAGAACCTTTTATATCCGACAACAGGCCAGGCTGTGTGGTGCATGGTCATGACATGTGTATTCTGCCTGTTTTGATTGTCCATGAAACGTATCTACGGTTTTCAAGAAATGCAAAATGTCAACCTAAAGGTATGACAAGACTTGATTATCCAATGGAAGAGATTCTACTGGAATTAAAAGCCAAACAGCAGCTGCAGTGGAAAGCAACGATGACATCGCAAAACGGGTTAGCATGTCCAGCATTAAGAAGAAATGCAACTCTTCAGCCAAAAATGAATCACCCACCCTGATATTGCTGCGTCATGGATACACGCCGAGAAATAAACTCTGTCAAAAAAGAAACGCAACCCCCTGTATTTTAGAGATTTTAATCTTACGTTTTAGGACGACAGAGCATTTTTATTATTTAAGACAGAAGTCTGAAGTTTGGCAGAATAATAACCAAGATAGTCATGTTTAAAATTGTCATTTCAAAAGTTATCTCACAGACACCAGTTTGGCAGAAGGTGAGGCTTTCTTCCTCATGGTTTGGTAGACTGTCAGTTTTACCTGAAGTCATGGCGATGCATACTATAGAAATGATACGTTACGTTGACGAACGCGTCGATCCAGAGTATCCCACAGGTGTTCAATAGGGTTGAGGTCTGGTGATTTAGAGGGCCATGGCAAGACATTGACGTTGGATTTCTGCAGAAAGTTCATTGTTGCACGTGGAGTATGAAGCCGGGCGTTGTCCTGTTGAGAAATCTGTGTCTGTTGGTCAATAATCGGTAGAAGGTGAGGCTGTAACACGTGGTTGATGTAACGTTGGGCTGTCAGGTTCCCTGGAACGATCACCAAGTCTGAGTTTTGGTTGTATGAGATTGCTCCCCAAACCATAACGCTGTCCCTTCAAATCTGTCCACCTGTCGGACGCAGATGGGCGCAAAACGTTTATGACGTCTCCTATACACACGCTGTCTTCAGTCGTGACGTTGCAAAAGAAAACGTGATTCATCAGAAAACCAGATGAGCCTCCAGTTTTGTAAAGTCCATATCCTTACGTTGTTGCACCACCTGAGTCGTCGGCGTCGATGTAGGGGGCGTAGTACAGGTCCAACAACTGGTCTACAGGCACGTAAACCCGCTTCTTTCAGACGGCTCCTAATCGTTTAAGCTGACACTCTCCTCAAACTTGGTATTTGTGTGGCAGTCACGGTTGGTAGGGCATGCCGATTACGCAGGTGATGGACCTGGATGTACCGATCTTGAAGGGGGGTCGTGATTCTTGGCCTTCCGATTCTTGGGCGATCGTTGGTCGAATTGAAGTTGTTGTAGCGGCTCCAAAGTCGGCATATCGTTGTTTTGTGAACATTTAGGTGCCGTGCAACAGTTCCAAAACTTTCTCCGGCTTGAACACGATCAATGGCGATATTTCGGTCGGCAGCACTCAATCGTGGCATTTTTAACACTGCTTTTCGGGACAAATGAATGAATAAAATACGAAAGCACATGGGCTTTTATACACCCCTACATTAACTGCCATTTTCTTGATTTGCATGTGCATTTGCCTTTTTGTGCGAAGTCACCAGGGTCATTTCATGCGTTGTGACGGAATAAGCAATAAAATACACTTATGCGTGAAAATGCAGTTGTTTGGATGTAATCTTCATTAAATATGTGTATAATTTCAATACATTTGAATAAAATTTAGTTTGGAAGCAATAACTTTATTCAAACGAATTTTCAATATCTGAGGACAGGGGTTGCGTTTTTTGACAGAGTTTATTCAATCACTATAACAGAGTTACCTTGTTCACTCCATAACCTGCAGAAGCGATTACAGTAGTATACTTTCTCAAAACTATCGGGCACTACTGTTGTATTCCATGCATCTGAACTGGGATACAGGAACCTAGTAGCCATATTCGCACACAACGCTTTGCGTCAAGATTGGAATGTTAAAATGTTAAATGTGTGGTATTTTCAAACTATTATTATTTTCTGGTACAGACATGAAGCTGTACAGCCTCTTGCCCTTGCTCAAACACTCACTTTCTTGCTCACTCACTTTGTCCCTTTCTGAGGCACACTCTCTCCTGCTCATCCACTAGCTTCTTCTCCACTTTGTTAATCCACTCGCTTACGTCCCCTTACTCAATCTTTCTCAACCTTTTGCTCATTCGCCCTCTAGCTACCTCCCTTGAACACTCACTCACTCTTGACCACCCACGCCCCTGTTCTCTCCCGTTCTTAAAGTGAAGCTCGTCTCAACTCACTCTTATAGTCATTGTGAAATACCGGAAAAAAGCATGAGTATCCAAATGCCAGCGGTAACTGCTATCACGGCAGAAAGGTGGTTTCTGCTGAAAGTCTACCTTCGATTATCAAGTGTAATTATATCTCCATGTTCAACCATTCTCTAGCTGGACATGGGTTCTTTCTCCGTGGTGTAGTGGATAGGGTGTCTGTGGTTCGATCCCAGACAACGTCATAACCAAAAAAGGCCTGACACTCGCCATAACGGGACAAAACACGAACGGCTGGCTTGAAATCACTATTATTATTATTATTATTTGTGTTTTATAATTCATTTATATAGCGCCTATTATCCATCTGACAAGTTGCTCACTGGACGCTGTAATCAGAACTTGATCTGATTATATTACGCCGGATAAACCAAGTGTAATCATGCCTTACATGTAGCTTCCATGCTATTTGCATTACCACTATATGCATGTAAATATATACCAACAACTATATTGTCTAGAGAGCTTTAATATATCACACAGATCACCAGGTGTTCTTATTGGAGCATCCCCTATATATTCCTCCTATTTGGGTAAAGCTGCCCTCCAGCCAGCATGTAGTTGTTTGCTGAATTGATCCACAAGGGAGCTGAAGGCGGAATCATAAGCCAGGTTCTTGTTTTCCTGAGGATCGCCATAATGGTCGTACAGTTCCACACCAAACACTTCTGTCCAGTCCGGTTTGTACACAGGTTGTAAGTTGAATTTGACCCACTCTGTGTATCTGTAATGATCGGTGGTCATGCTGTAGCCCATTTGATCTCCGTTGTATTCATTCCTCGGGTACTGGGAGAATACAGCCTTCTTCCAGTTGGGACTTGCTGGGTTTATTATCAGAGGTATCAAACTAGTGCCTTCAGTGCAGACTAGAACGTCGGTGGAGTTTTCTGGACACAGATTTATAGGAGGTAGACCTGCAGCTTCTACCAGAGTAGGAAACAAATCCACAAACTCGGTGAGTTCTTCAGTCACGATGCCCTTGTCAGTGAGACCCGGCATATGTACCATCATAGGGGCGTGCGTGGCGATGTCAAAGTCCGTGTGTTTGCACCACTCACCATGTTCCCCCAGTTGCCAACCGTGATCTCCCCAGAAGGAGATGATTGTGTTGTTGGCCAGGCCTTGATTCTCCAGCTCCTGGACTATTCTTCCGAGTTCGTAGTCCGTGTAGCTGAGAGCGCTGTAGTAGGCTCTCCTCTAGTTGAGGATAACATCGTTTGGGAGTGTGGTGTTGATGTCTCCTGTAACATGTAATTTCTCAATGTCTTCGTAAGCTCCGAGCTCTGTTAAATAATAATTAGACCATGCAATTTCCGGCATCTTATCAGGAGCATATGGGTTGGCTGGAAGACTGATGGAGGACTCGGGGTACATGTCAAAGAACTTCTGTGGTGCCACAAAGGGAAGATGAGGTTTGTGGAAACCTTGGGCGATGAAGAAAGGACGTTCTCCAGATCTAGCTTGAGGGGCCGCTTCTCTAATCATTTGAATCGCATGGTCATTATTCTGTGTGTCTTGAAGGGAGTTGTTCTTCAGAACATCCATCGGCACATTCAACCAGGAAACATGCTCCTTGTATACAAAATTGTTTGCAAGACCTCCTACTTCAAAATATGGGTCTGTCCAGGAGATCGGGTCGTTGTCGTTAGAAGCATTTCCAGGGTGGAAAATCTTACCCGAACCTATCGTCCTGTAGCCGTGCTCCTTGAAATACTGAGGGATGGTGGTGAAGTTACCTCCCACAACTCTCCAGTAAGCTTGTAGATCATACACATGGGTTGTGTCTGGTCTTCGTCCAGTGAGGAGAGATGATCTGCTCGGGGAACACACAGCCTGCTGAACATGGGCTCTCTTTAACAGAAGACTCTTCCGAGCGAGGGCGTCAAGGTTGGGTGAATGTATCGGAGGGTGGACAGGACTGGGGAAGTCTTTTCCACCAAAAATGGAGAGTTCCGGTCTCATGTCATCAGCCACTAAAAACAACACATTCATGCGAGCCTGGGCGGCAGTCACCGCCAGCAGCAGAAGAGTCACCCTCAACATTATTGCGTCTAAATCACACTGTGTTCAAGCTGAAGAGAATGGATTTATGTATCTTCTAGCCTGTGAAGATAGCAGACGATTCTTATCACTTGGAATGTTTGAAATTTCATGTTTGAAAAAACATAAAATATACTAGCCACATAAAGAAACTGTGCATTGTCAAAACATTATCCCAGTTGATAAGTACGATAACAATGTCAAAGGTACATATAAACTTTAATGGAGGGATCATGAGACCATAACAAGTCGGGAGAATTTCAATTGAAAAGTCAATCACAATGACGTCACGACTCCACAAGCGGGACAATGTCACAAGCTCAATAACGGGTATGTCCACCATCGGCATTGAGAACAGCAGTGCATCGACGACGCATAGAGCCTATCAAACGTGCAAGGAAGGCTTGTGGGATGTCACGCCAGATTCTCTCAAGTTCTGTTGCAAGTCAAGGACGTTATCTGGCGGACTAGGAAGACGGCGTAGACGTCGATCCATCCCGTTCCAAACATGCTCTATCGGGGAGAGATCCGGTGAATTTGCAGTCCAAGGCAGTAAGTCAACGTTGTGGTGTTGCAAGAAATCCATAGCAACCCTTGCCATTTGAGGGCGGGCATTGTCCTGTTGGAATGTTAACCCAGGGCCATGACGTTGCAGAAATGGAATTGCCACAGGTCGAAGAATCTGATCCCTGTAACCCACACCAGTTAAGTTGCCCTGAACAATCACCAAAGAAGTTCTTTGGCGTGCTGTTAATCCACCCCAAATCATCACGGAACCACCACCAAAGCGATTCCTCTCCAAGACACAGGCCTGTGCATAACGTTCTCCCACGCGTCTTATAGGCACGTTGACGTCCATCACTATGGAAATGTTAAACCTGGACTCATCTGTAAAAACAACATTTCTCCATCAAAACAAGGGTCTGCGGACATGATTTCGGCATCACATTCGGCGAGCTTGTCGATGACGTTGTGTCAGGATAGGCCGTATGGCGGGACATCGTGGTCTGATCCCGTGATGACGTAAACGTTGTCGAACTGTGTTGGGGTGGATACGGCGAAGTCGTGGGATGGTTCGGGCAGTCATCACTGCAGTCTGAAACCTGTGGCGAAGATGGGTCACCCTTATCCATCTGTCCTGTTTTGGCGTTGTTGCACGTGGACGTCCAGAACGTGGCCGATCGATGACGTCATTTGTGTTCTGGAAGCGTCTCACCATTTCAGAAATGGTGTTCCGGTGGCAGTGGAAATGTGCAGCCACTTGTCGTTGAGACATTCCCCCACGGACCATCCCAATGGCCTCATGACGTTGTGCAGACGTGAGCCTTGGCATGCTATGCATTTCAATAGCCGTTTAATTTTTTGAACAATCGCAAGGGCAGGAGTTGAGCTTTCCAAAGTGACAGTATTGTGTGGCATTCATTTGCTCTGTTTCTCTTTCCCGGAACGCACGTGCAACAACGTATTGCACGTGTCAAGGACGAACCCACTGACGTCACGGAATGTGGCACGTGCATGCATGTTGGATACATGTCACTAATCTCTGAGTTTAAATCCTTATGTGTCTACACAGGTTTGATAAATTTAGATTTTAAATTTTTGTATGCACAGTTTCTTTATGTGCCTAGTATATACTGAAATGCAAAAGTTATTGTAATATGCAAACAACAAATGAAAAGATATTGCATTGAAAAGTCAAATGTTGTAAAGTATTGTAACCATCGACAAGCTCACCTTGCACATGCAAATGATCCACAACATAAGATGGGATTCATAAGGAAGTTCAAACGGTCAGTAGCAAGTGTGTCAACCTTGTGAATTGGTGCAGGGCTGACACCTTCACCTCTTTGAGGTAATTTAACGTCGAGGCAAGGATATATCATGCCATATCCTAGGAATAATTTGACAGAGTTTCTGCAGTGTTGTTGGAGTACTCAGACATCATAAACGTCGATCCATTTCATCACAAACGTGTTCACTCTGTCGACGTCTGGAGTGGTGTATGGCCCGTCGGCAGTGGAACCTGAGGACATGGAGGAGGGTCCACTGGTCAGATGAGAGCAGGTTCCTCCTCTACGTTACAGATGGTCGAATGAGAGTGTGGAGGCATAAAAACACTGCTTACGTGCCCAGGTATATCCACCCTACTGTTCCTTGTGGTGGAGGATCGGTTATGATCTGGGGTTGTCTTTCACACGACTGTAAACTTCAAATGGTGACTGTCCGAAGAAATCTTAATGGTCAGCAGTACATCCGGGATATTCTCCATCCAGTTGTCGTGCCTCACTTTGACAACCACCTGTTGGCTACTCACCATATATTCATGGACGACAACGCCAAGCCGCATCGTCCAGAATGAGGCTATCATGACATTACCTTGGCCAGCAATGAGCCCCGATTTGAATCCTTTGGAGCACATCTGGGACTTTCTTGGACGCCGTGTGAGGTTGAGAGAACCCCCTCTCCAGCATCTTGCACAGCTGGAAGCTGCTTTGCATGAAGAATGGCGGCAATTGCCACTTGATCGTATCAGAAGGTTTACCAGTAGCATGAGGAGGAGGATTCAAGCTGTCATCCAAGCACCTGGGGGATACACCCGATACTGATGCCAGACCCATCAGATGTTAACATGTGACATTCCTTGTGCATCATTTCTTGTAATAGTCAGCCATTGACAATGCTACGGCCATACTTGTTCAGTGACTATTTTCATCAAAAATCAATAGTGACCAAATCACATTGGTTACGCTATTAAAACAACACGTATTGGAATCATTGTCTTGTTTTTCATTTGTCAATAGATCGTATGTTTCACAATAGCTAAGGTTCCACTATCTTTGGAATAGTGAGTGAGTTACAGCAAGTTTTGTTTCTCATCATCCAAAAAAAAGGGGGGTGCTTAATTAAATTCCAGGTGTATATATCGTTTGTGGGGCATCATTAGTGCATTTTAAATACTTCTTTCGGCAGGCAGATTCTAAATTTACAAAACATTCTTAAAAGGGACTTATCATTAAGAACACTGATATACTTTTCAGGTCCGAACATCGATTTACATTGTGAATAATGACTAAGAAAACTGGATGAATTGACTGATGCGTACCAATTCTGAATATATATATATATCTTGTATTCGTTGTTTAAATGTTGACAAAAACATTTTTATATCACCAACATCTTGCTTAAACCAAACATAAGAAAACCCGCTTGAAAATAACATATTTCTCACATCTGAAGCCCATGAATACTTTCCACATTTATCAAGTGATAACAATAATTGATAGCTTTGATGGGGTAGCGATAATCAGGCATTCTTATAAGTTTAATGCAGTATCTAATAACTCTCATTTGACTCTCAATATGCATGTTATAACGTCCTGTTTCGCCAAGTATGGCTTTATTGGAAGCAAATTTACCTACTGTAAGAAATCTTTTAAAATAGGATGCATGGACATTTTCAATCGCTTCGAAATAATTTGCTTCCCGTATGATATGGAAAATTATGACATGATTATATATGTTAAAAGAAATATACTGGGTCAAAAAAAGAAACTTCACATTCTTTCTTCAGGGCACTGTAAAAGAACAAGAGATGGTAAGATGGTGAAGTTGTTATTATTTCATTGCTGAGATCTGTGTGATGTACTCGATACACTGACAGTGCCATAATCAGTTCCATTAGGCTACACCGCCGTTCCAAAACATGGGTATACAGAATGTCAAGTCACAAGAATAAAAAATGCGAAATTTCTCAGTTCAATATCGTGTATGGCCGCCTCGCGCATTCACCACTGCCAAACACCGTCTCCTCGTCGACTGCCTGATGCTTTTGAACACGTGGTTGGGGATTCTGCGCCATTGCTCTTGCAAGGCAGTGCCAAGTTCCATCAAATTCTGAGGTTGGTTCCTAAGACCACGAAGCCTTCTCCCAAGTGCATCCCAAACGTGCTCTATTGGATTAAGGTCGATGGCCAGTCCATGGCGTTGATTCCAGCGTTTTGAAGGAAATTTCGTGTCAACATCACGGTATGCGGCCGAGCATTATCATGCTGGAACTGTAGACCTGGGCCATGAGCCGCAATGAAAGGAAAGAGTTCAGGGGTGAGCACCTGGTCGCGGTAAGTAGCAGCTGTGAGGTATGACCAGATGTCGGGAACGGTTGTTCCCACAGAAGGCACCCCACACCATGCAACTTCCGCCCCCGAATCTGTCGACTTCCTGTACACAACATTGGGCATACCGTTCCCGACGTCGTCTCCAGACTCTATGCCTGCCGTCGGCGAATCTGAGGGTAAACCTGGATTGATCGCTAAAGACGACTCGATTCCAGTCTCTCTGGGTCCATCGGAGGTGACGTTGGGCCCACAGCAGACGTTGACGTTGATGAAACGGCGTCAATATTGGCCCACGATATGGACGTCGAGAATGGAGATTGGCAGCCCGCAACCGATTTCGAATGGTCTGTGAGGACAGTCGACCTCTAAACATCTCAGCCCTGGTTCGTGTAGCCGGCAGAAATCTGTCACGTAGGTGACGTAGGACGATTTGACGGTCTTCTGCTCGTGACGTCACACGTGGACGACCCGACCTTGGGCGATCAGAAGTGGTGCCAGTTTGTTGTAGACGACCTCGCAAGTCATACACAGTACGACGGCTGCATCCCATTGCTCTTGCGACGTCAATAACTGATCTTCCCGCTTGCAACATGCCAACGGCACGTTCGAGTTGCACATTTGACAATCGTGGCATTTCAAGTACCGTTAGAACTGTGGTTTAAAAGTGATTTTTCAATTCTTGAGGCCAATGCAAACACGTGCACATGAAGAAAACTTCGATGCGAAGATCACGTGATCGACTGCATGTGCAAAACCTGATTTGGCACTAACGTCATTTGCACGACGAATGGATGGGTTTAATGGGTTTTGCTAACGTTTTTTCTAGAGTCGAAAGATAGGGATGCCATTTCGGATACATAGATGTATCATCAGAGAAAAATTATTCATTATTTTTCAAATGACATTTTGTGAAGTTTCTTTTTTGACTCAGTATATATTAAATCACAACCTTTTGTTATATGTTATAAAAGATCAAAGAAAGTATACATTTACACACACAAAAATTCTTATGTGTTAGCCAGCGCGTATGCATATGCTTAAATTTGCTAGTACACATGAAAGGCAAAATGGTATTATATCTACCTAAATACTTCTTTATAGAGTCGCAAAGCGTAGTATTTCAAGCAAACACGTTGCTCGAAGTGAAGCCTTCTATATATTCTCAACAACACGTTGATATTGCTGGAATATTGCTGGAATATTGCTAAGAGCGGCATCAAACCCAACTCACTCACTCACTACAGGACTTTTAGGGGCCTATTTGCAAACAACGCCGCGTGTGAAGATAAGATTGTTGAGATGACAAATGCATGGTGTTTTGTAGTACCCAGTTTTGGTGGTACAGTTGTAGAGATGAACTGCCTCTCTACCTACCCCAACTACTCACATTCTGGCTCACCTTTCAACACTTTCCCTCTCTCCTGCTCATCCATTCAAACTCTCTGCCTCTTTCTCACTCACTCTGTCCCTTTCTGAGCACACTCTCTCTCTCATGCTCATCCACTCCTTCTTCTCTCCTTTGTTAATCCACTCACCAACTCTCCCTTTCTCTCTCTCTCCCTCTGTTGTTCATCCACTCACTTGGGTACAATGTGTGAAGCCCATGTCTGGTGTCCCCCGCCGTGATATTGCTGGAATATTACTAAAAGCGGCGTAAAACCATACTCACTCACTCATCCACTCACTACTTCCTCCCGTGCACACCCACTCACTCATTCACCCTTAATCCTTCCACTCTCCTGCTCTTCTTCCTCTTCTCCAGTGCTCACAATGACGCTCGTCTCATGTCACTCTTATTGTCATTGTGTAGATACATGAAAGCATTTGTATCCGAATGCCAGCGGTGACTGCCATCGCTGCAAAAAGGTGATTTCTGATGGAAGACTACCTTCGATTATCCACTATATTATATGTCCAATTTGTTAAACTTCATATAATAGTGTTCGGGCTGGACGCCGGTTCATGTCGGTGGCGTAGTGGATAGAGCGTCTGCTTAGGAGCAGAGGGTAGGTGGTTCAAGCCCTGACAGCGTCATACGAAAATTCGATAATAAATGGTATGTGTTGTTACCTTGCCTGAAGCTTGGCGTTAAGAGACTGGCTGGCTCGGAGTCACTGTTATGTGTCTCAGTCGGATATCCATATTACACTATGACATGATGTTCCAATGGGTTAGTACGGACAAGTACAAGTAAACATGCATCCACGTGCATGTGTGAGATGATCTTTCACCCCATCTCGTTATGTAAAAATGTTGATAAATCTTTATATCATTATTGGATAGTATAACATGAAGTTCAACTTTGCGTGTCAGGTGCTTGCGAACAAACACAATCACATAATCGCCATAGTGAGTTTAGTTTTACGCCGCTTTTAGCAATATTCCAGCAATATCACGGCGGGGACACTAGAAATGGGCTTAACACATTGTACCCACGTGAGGAATCGAACCCGGGTCTTCGGCGTGACGAGCGAACGCTTTAACCACTAGGCTACCCCACCGCCCCTAATCGCCATAGACTTTTCAGTTATGGTGAAACCATCGAGCAACTGTAAAGTGGTGATACATCAAGAGTTATAATCACGGAGATTTGAACCTATCACCATAGATGCCGGTTCTTCTAGAGTACGCGATGGGGTAGCCTAGTGGTTAAGGCGTTCGCTGGCCACGCTGAGGACCTGGGTTCGATTCCCATATGGGCAAATTGTGTGAAGCCCATTTCTGGTGTCCCTGGCCGTGATTTGCTGGAATATTGCTAAAAGCGGCGTAAAACTAAACTCACTCAGTCACTGTATTGTCACTGCCGCTAGACCATACCTGCCCTGCCCGAGACCCGCTGAAGTGCCTGGCAACAGATGTGTATCTGCGAGATAAAACTACACCCACTCACTCCTAAAGTATGCAACAGTAGAATGGTAGGAATTTTCAGGAAAAACTGGAATTTGATGCGACGGGATCCTGGACAAACTAAGGGAGGCAACTCATCAGAATGAACTACTGCTCCCACACAGTAAGGTTATTCATGCTCACTCAGCAATGGGCAATGGGCAGGATCCTGATTCTTCAGTTTTCTTAGACTCGATGTTTAAACAAGGGAGTTACGTCCAGAATAACTAGTCTCCATTACTGATGATACAAATTTCTTTGGCGTCAAAGACAAAAACACGGAGGTGAATATTATAGGAATGGATCACTGAAAATCAGTAACACCAGTTAATAGAGTAAGCTCATTCTTCATGTCCCACCAGTAGCTCCGCCACTCATATAATTTGCATGAACAATTGAATGCATGTAAAAATTGTCTAAAACTGAATTGTCCAGACAGCTTTAATATTGCCGCTTGCCCCGTCAAACGACAAACAATATATTTTTCAAAAAAACTATCACTAGGTGCTCTGATTGGAGCATCCCCAATATATTTCTCCTATTTGGGTAAAGCTGCCCTCCAGCCAGCATGTAGTTGTTTGCTGTATTGAGCCACCAGAGCGCTGTAGGAGGAATCATAAGCCAGGTTCTTGTTTTCCTGAGGATCGCCATAATGGTCGTACAGTTCCACACCAAACACTTGGGTCCAGTCCGGCTTGTACACTGGTTGTGGTTTGAACTTGACCCACTCTGTGTATCTGTAATGATCGGTGGTCATGCTGTAGCCCATTTGATCACCGTTGTATTCATTCCTCGGGTACTGGGAGAACACAGCCTTCTTCCAGTTGGGACTTGCTGGGTTTGTTATCAGAGGTATCAAACTAGTGCCTTCAGTGCAGACAAGAACTTTAGTGGAGTTCTCTGGACAAAGATTAATAGGAGGTAGACCTGCAGCTTCTACCAGAGTAGGAAACAGATCCACAAACTCAGTGAGTTCTTCAGTCACGATGCCCTTGTCAGTGAGACCCGGCACATGTACCATCATAGGGGAGTGGGTGGCTAGCTCAAAGTCCGTGTGTTTGCACCACTCACCGTGTTCACCCAGTTGCCAACCGTGATCTCCCCAGAAGGAGATGATTGTGTTGTTGTCCAGGCCTTGATTCTCCAGCTCCTGGATAACTCGTCCCAGTTCGTAGTCTGTGTAGCTGAGGGCGCTGTAGTACCCTCTCCTCAAGTTGAGGATGACATCGTTTGGGAGTGTGGTGTTGATGTCTCCCGAAACGTGTAATCTCTCAATGTCAACATATTCTCTGAGTTCTGAATAATTAGACCATGCGATTACTGGCATTTTATCAGGAGCGTAGGGGTTCGGTGGGAGACTGATAGACGACAACGGGTACAAGTCAAAGAACATCTGTGGTGCCACAAAAGGAAGGTGAGGTTTGTGGAAACCTTGGGCGATGAAGAAAGGGCGTTCTCCAGATCTGGCTTGAGGGGCTGCTTTTCTAATCATGTTGATGGCATAATCTGTATTCTGCATGTCCCAAAGGGAGTTGTTCTTTAGAAGGTCCATTGGCACGCTCAACCAAGTAACTTGTTCCTTGTACACAAATTTGTTAACTGTTTTGCCTACTTCAAAATATGGGTCTGTCCAGGAAATCGGGTCGTTGTAGCCAGAAGCACGTCCTGGATGGAAAATCTTACCCGATCCTATCGTTCTGTAGCCATGTTCCTTGAAATACTGAGGGATGGTGGTGAAGTTCCCACCAACATCTCTCCAGTAAGCTTGTAGATCATACACATGGGTAGTGTCCGGTCTTCGTCCAGTGAGGAGAGATGATCTGCTCGGGGAACACACAGCCTGCTGAACATGGGCTCTCTTTAAAAGAAGACTCTTCCGAGCGAGAGCATCAAGATTCGGTGAATGTATCGGAGGGTGGACAGGACTTGGGAAGTCTTTCCCTTCAAAAATGGAGAGTTCCGGCCTCATGTCATCAGCCACCAAAAACAACACATTCATACGAGCCCGGGCGGCAGTCACCGCCAACAGCAGAAGAGTCACCCTCAGCATTGTAGCTTCAGAATTACACTGTCTTCACACTGACGAGAACGGATTTATATATTTTCTAGCCTGTGAAGATAGCAGACGATTCTTATCATTTGGAATGTTTGTTATGTGCACGTGTGACAAAACACAACAAAAACATGGCTCTAAACAGGAGCTGGCATTCACAGAAGACTCCTTCGAGCCAGTTCGTGTAGGTCAATCCATGGAAGGATGACACCAAGGGAACACATTTCCCTTAGTCTGAATGACTGTCGATGTCAAAAACAAATATATCGGTGTGTCAGACATTGAGGTCAGCAAAAGATAGCTTGAAAGAATCTAGATTTTGATAATTATAACAAATACTTGGGAACATGCACCTGTGTCTTTATCGTTATATCATGGCATGGCATAAGAACCTTTTGTATCACACAATCAATGTGTTGTGCTTGGCCATAACATGTACAGACTGCCTATACTGATTGTCTTTAAAATGTATTTATGGTTTTAAGTATATGTGAAATGTAAATGTGAGGGATAACCTGTCATGATTATCTGACGAAACAGATTCTACTGGGCGTATTGGCAGAGCAGCAGCGGAAATAGACTGAATCACTGGAAAGCAACGACGACACAAAGGAGTTCGCAAAAACGGTTAACATGTCCTGCTCAAAGACGAAATATGACTCTTCAGCTGAAAATTTACTTGGATGTTTTCGGTTTCTCAATGTCATCGAACTGCCTGAGCTCCGAATCATGTTAATGGCATAATTTGCATTGTGGGTGTCTTGAAGGAAGTTGTTCTTTAAGAACATCCATAACATGCTCCCCGATTGCAAACTTGTTTGCTGTACCTTTTCTTCAAAATGTGGCTCAGTCCAGGATATCGAGTCGTTGTAGTTTGTCCTGGACTGACTGACTGAGTTTGGTTCTACGCCGCTTTGGGCAATATTCCAGAAACATCACGGCGGGGGACACCAGAAATGGGCTTCACACATCGTTTGTCCTGGATGTCCCGGATGGAGTTTAGTTTGAAGATGAGTTAGACTTTGAACACCATACAGTTGGCGTGTCTCGTGTATGTCAGGTTAAATAGGGGAGGTATAGACAAAATGGTACGACGACGTCAGTCGTTTCAACTATGGTGAAACCAACCAGCAAATGCATGGAGCTCATACATCAAGAGGCCTTGATTTGAACCTATCATCATTAATTCTGATTTGCCTAAAGTGTGCAACAATATGCAGATACACATTGTCAGGAGGAACTGGAATTCAGACAGACGACAATTGTATCCTAGACCAGCAAAGGTACGCAACTCATCAGAATGAGTTACCACCCCAACACCACTTGGTTAGCCATGCTATGTTAAAGTCCTGGAAAAACAGCAATGTGATTCTTCATTTCGTTGTTGGCTCGATAGTCCAAACAAAGTAATTATGACGTATAAAATATGTACGTGAGAGAATTATCAGATGGATATTATAGAAATCGATCACAGAAAAATTGTTTCACATCTTTTTATTCATCCATTGGCGTATTGATGTACAAAAAAGCAAATACATGTGTAGTACACATTAATACAGTGGTAACAATTGTACATATTCAGATAGCGATAGTACTAAGGTGTGTCAAGTATGTGGTTAAAGGCATCCATTTTCTGTAGAAGCAGTCAAATATCTGGGATCTTTTTGGTAATATATTTCTCATTGTTGAAAATGTCTTTAGTGATTCTCAAAAGATTTTCAAAAGTACTTCTATCTTGTTTAATGTTTAAAAATGAATGAATCTTTTAGTAATGAGAATGATATGATTCATGAAAATTTGTGTGCTTGGAAGGCCAAATGATATGGTTTGCTTTGTCAATGAAATGCCTTTGAGTACATACTGGTTAAATATTGCTTCAAGCAAGATTAATGATACAGTGACAATCAGTATATACATTGAGAATATCCTTATCGTCTACCTTGCAGAAACGACAAGTCTTATAATCCACAAGCATCATTCGAAGCAACTAATGCTTTGTGTAAATAATTCTGTGAATAATTCTATACTTGTCCACATGCTTTGCGTATTTGGTACATTTTCCAGTCACTATCAAAAGGTAATATGCTCTACCATTTCAAAGATACTGGAAAATCTTATTTCTGTAGTAATTAACTTGTCATAGTAAAATCTAGAACCTTTTATATCTACTAGTAAGCTTGAAGGCTGTGAGTTTATGGTAAGATTTTCTGGGGTATTTTTTTAACTTATTTGTTTGATGATGTCTCTCCGTGCCTTTGGTATGTTTAAAATAATTCTATATACATTCAAGAATTGTTCGGTCTAGTTCAAAGGCATTATATAATTCTTCAAAATTCATGCAGCCATCATCATTACAAATATCGCCAATTGAGTGCAAACCTTTCCCGAACCAGCTATCAATACAAAGATAAGAGTCATGAAATTGGTGATTAAGCCATTATGGTTCACAAAGAATATCCCCCACATCAAACCTTGTTTTATGGATTTTTAAATATTCAGATATTGAGAACATCTTTAAAGAAATAATTTTTCATATGAATGTGTTCAGCGACGTTTGAACCCAATATAGTAATATTTTTTGTAGGTATGCAGCTTAAGCTTTAAGGCATTGATAAAGTTTTTAATATAAACCATCTCCTGCTCGTGTTTTCTTACTAAGTTTTCCCTCTTTATTTAATCCCTCTTGCCATCCCAAATGAAATGTAATAAAATCCTTATTCAGATAATCTACAAATGGTTTGGGAGGATTGGGAGGGACAATAAAATATGTACTGAGGTAGATAGAGCAAGTGTTTTAATGACTGTAATTTTACCAATATTTTCCAGTGTTTTCCTTGTATTGATAACCCAGAGGTTTTCAACATGAGCATTAAGTTTTATTCCTAATACTTCAAAGTCATCTTCATGCCAATCTAGTTTAATATCTGTACAACATTACTATCTGCCATTGCACCTATCCACAAAGCTTTGGTCTTATCAGTGTGCATTTCGAGGCCTGAGATTTTATAGAAACTGTTAAGGGTCTTTATAGCATCCCTTAAGCTATTTTCACTTCCATCTCAAAACGTTGGGTGTCATCTCCATAGAGTAATAGGTTTCCAACATACTCTATTTGTATTTGATTTAGCTATAGGAACATGTGTACAAGTTATTACCTCTCTGTTGCATGTTGCGGTTAATAATCTCTTTTTAAAGTTTCTTTCACATATCTGTTAATTCAGAATTTTAGATCAATCCAGAAGAATTTAAAGAATTCAATAGGAAATCCGTCAATACCGGGACTGTTATTATTTGTCATTGTTTTGATTGCATTCGTCAATTCCTCGAGGTCGATGGGCTTTTCTAAATCATCCGATGGGGTAAATTCTAATACTGGGATGTTTAAATTCTGTAAGATAGTATTGCCATTATCCACATAATTTGTATTAGATTATAGTGTCTTATAAAAGTTCATGTGCTCATTGAGTGTCTGATTACCGTCAGTAGTTTCATCTACCGAGTCTGTAATCGGTCCATTTATTAAAGTGTTGGTAAAAAATCTATTTTCGAGATGACAAATATATTTTGTAGGTTTCTCACCTTCTTCATACAAAGTAACTCTTTGCTTAATCTGCATTCCTATGTTTTCTTTCTCTTTGATTTTTTTCAAGGTCAGTGTTACACCTTGAGAGTTGACTTAGTATTTCCTCATTAACAGTCTGAAAATCTTCTCTAATAGTGTTTCCACTTGAATTAATATTTTCTTCCAGAACCTGAGTGGGGTTAATCTTGTTCTTTTTTATATAAAGAATATGAAATAGATTTCCCTCTTACCTTCAAAAGGAAAGCATTGAATTTCCAATATCTTTTCGTCTTTCCTCACTAAGATTGCTAGATAAAGGTAATGTAATGACTGCGTGGTCAGACTTGTATCCTGGTAGTATGTCTGATACCAGAGGAAGCAAGAAAATTATCGAAATGGGCCTGTTGTCTTCATTTTCCACCAAGTGTATTTTCTAACATCTGGGCTGAGAGTCCTCCATTCATCAATTAACTCATAGGGTTCTAGTTTTTTCAACAGTAAATTTCTAGCTTTGGGGTTATTGATATGTTTGAATTTTCTGAGTCTACATTTGGATTTAATACCAAATTCCAATCCCCACAGAGAACTAGACATCGGTTGTCAAATGTATCTGTATGTTCAAATAGTTCACGACAGAATTTGTGTTCATTTTTGTTTGGTTCATACACATTTACAAGTGCCATTCTAATGCCATCAATAATTAGGTCAACAATAATATAATTACCACAGTCATCTATTTTAAACTTATGGGCATCAATTTCTAAATTATTATTGAATAATATGGCCACTCCTCTGGCATTGGATTTATATGGTGGTATGTTTTTAAAGTTTTTAAAGCCAAAGTTTTTAAAATAATAATTAAAAAAGTCAGGCCTTTTCCTGAAATCATAATGCCATAATGGATACAACCGATGCATATAACCAATGTAATCCTTATGAAATATGTAAGCCTATGGTGTTAGGGCCCCATTTTTAACAAAGTCAAAGTATCACTGAATATTAGTGATGACACTAAATGTAATCATGCCCTACCCCATGCTCTGCATGACAAATACATGCATGAAAAATATACCAAAAAACACATATCCAGAGAGCTTTAATATATCACATACATCACCATGTGCTCTGAGAGGAGCATATCCTATATTTTCCTCCTATTTGGGTAAAGCTGCCCTCCAGCCTGCATGTAGTTGTTTGCTGAGTTGAGCCACCACAGCACTGTAGGCGGAATCATAAGCCAGGTTCTTATTTTCCTGAGGATCGCCATAATGGTCGTACAGTTCCAAACCAAACACTTCTGTCCAGTCCGGCTTGTACACAGGTTGTAGGTTGAATTTGACCCACTCTGTGTATCTGTAATGATCGGTGGTCATGCTGTAGCCCATTTGATCTCCGTTGTATTCATTCCTCGGGTACTGGGAGAACACAGCCTTCTTCCA